AACATATGTACCAATATGCTTGATACAGATGATGTGTGGATCGTTGTAGGAGCCCCCAGTAACATGATCTTTTAATTCAACAACAAAGAATGGCGCATCTTGCTCACCTCCCGGCGGTAACTGTTTCATTCACGGCAGACTGATTTCAGAGAGTGAAGCGGGAGGCAGTTAATGCCTCGGTGTTGGTTAGCCAAATTAGTGTTTTCCAGCTCTCCTGGCCCGCCCACAAGTTTCTGTGTGTGCACAACATGTGCGTCTCTAAAGAACGATTGGAGATGACTCTATTACGCCTATTGAGCAATTAATTACTCAGCCAGAAAGGAAAGTTTGACCAGCAGAAAGTACTTCCACCTCTCCCCCCCAAAAAGTGTACATTCAGGATTCCCATTTCACTTTTAAAAAAACATTCCACATACCCCACCCCCAAGCTAAATCTTAGTAATGGGCCCTGCTGGTGCTGCTGGGTAACTGTTACACTGCTAACCCTAACACTGGTAGTTCAAACCAACTAGCCACTTCTGGTCCCATAAAGATGTACAGCCTCGGAATCAACCTGATGGCAGTGCGATAACTTCTTAAAAGTTCCTGAAAGAAAGTATCCTCAACACTAAAGTCTCTGCCTTTGGATAACATACATTTCTAGAAATGAAAGGAAAAATATTATATTTAATAATAAATTTCAACTAGAACTCAGGACCAAATGAAGTATACATACAACTAATTGTATGCTATAAAAGAAAATACAGACTTGAGGTCTTCTATTTTATTGTGTTCTAAAAATTTCCTGCAGTTATTGTTTTATAGATAATTGTTTTATCTATAATAATTATAAGCTTAGGTACTAGGCGTTAACATATGCATTGATCATAAAGAAGTCTCCAATTTATAGAGTGCATTAAAATGAATTCTCTTCATAATCCACAAGGGCTTAAGTAGTAAGTGCTACGTATAGAAAGCAGTGTAGTGATCAATAGATCACCCCTAATATTATGAAAGCAGAAGT